TCACGAAAGCTTACACCCTGCCACATATTTTGTTAATCTTTAAGGTGCTACTGGAGTCTTGCTGTTTTCTACTGCTACATAAAGAGGAATATACAATAATAATAACATACTTTATTGTCATTGTACATAGTACAACGAAATTAAAGGTGCAATCATTTCAGTGATCTACAGCCATACTCATATACACTCACACAACCATTCACAACCATCCCATAACTCCCTTAAGGTTCACATTGCAACAAACCACCAATGTCACCCAAATTCCAATTTCATATAGCATTTAAAGCAATAATAGCTCTCAGATAAAAACTGTTTTTTAATCTGTTTGTCCTTGTTTTAATTGTCCTATATCTTCTACCCGAAGGCAGCAGTTCAAACAGGGAGTGTTCAGGGTGTGACAAATCCTGCAGAATGTTCTTTGCTTTTTTCAAGCATTGAGAACTATACAATTCCTCCAGGAACGGGCGAGGGCAGCCAATAATCTTCTGGGCTGTGATGATAACTCTCTGGAGTGCTTTCCTCTCCACAGCCATACACCTGGCAAACCAGGCACAGACGCAGTATGTTAAAATGCTCTCTATTGAGCAACGATAGAAGGACATCAGTATTTTCTCACTCGGGAATATAAATGGAAACGTAACAGTACTGTAAAAGTAATAGCATTAAGTAGGACTCCAGTAGTGTTACTTATTTAAAACATTTTAATGCCACCTTTCCACCTTATCAGGGTTCACAAAGTGATGAACATAAAAAATGTAAAAACGTTTGAGTAATTAAAAATACTGTTAAAATTATAAAATAGTTCAATAAAAACATAAGCAAACACTAGACGAAGGACCGGTAACCATTATCTTGTAAATGATAGAATAAGGAAGTGATTTGATATTTCAGTCTCTTGTTAAGCTTATTTCTAGTTTTGTGGAATCTTCAAATCTGAACAGATTTATTGTAACAATCTCTTGTTAGCTAGACCCAGCTTCCTGAGATGTAACTGTTTTGATGTCTTGTGCTCATTTTCATAGTCATCTAGAGTCTTTGCGAGTGTATTTGTTGAACATGGCCTGGATTGAGTTACAGCCTCATTTTTTTAATCTTTTTTTTGTATTTTCTTTTGTGTGTGTTTGTACACGTACGTGTGAGTGTGTGTGGCATCTGGAAGTCATGGCAACCTCTGGTGACTGACCCCCTACTGGGGGCCTGGAGGATATTCAGAGAGGTGACTGAATAAAGCCCCCCCCCCCTGCTGGTATTTCAAGGAGATTTCCCATTCAAGTACTTGCCAGAATTGACCCTGCTGAGATTGGGTTTGCCTGGGGTATCCAGGTCGGGGCAGCAAGGCCTCATTTGATTAACGTTCATGCTCCTCTTTTCCAGTTGTACTGACTAAAGTTCTGCATGAGCTGTTAAAGACATAAAATTATAGGGTCAGGAGGAGAAAACTATTCCCTGGCCTTAACATCTGGTGAAGAGAGTTTTGGCTCTTTGAAGCTCATGTTCCATAAAGCTCCTTGGTCTCTAAAGTGCTACTGGAGTTGAATCTAACTGTGCTACTGCAGAACAATGCAGTTGCCCTTTGAAACTAACATCTGTCCATGGTTTCCTAGTATCATGGGTTTCTGTGTCCTACCACTAGGATCTCAGTGGAATGCAAAAGGGTATATTTATTGTTTATTTATATGCAGTTTATCTGCCACTGTGTTTGGGGTAGATTACAGTTGAAAATAACACCCACAATATTTTTTTAAATTTACTTACAGTATTTATAGTTCACCTTTCTCACAGGAACTCAAGGCAAATTACCCATAATGACTCAAGTAAAAGTGGACTAAAAAAGAGAAGAAAACAAGTAAATTCGGGAACTAATATTACTATTCCTTAATAACCAGCTTGGATAGCTGCTGTTTTAGGGTGGGGGTGGGGGTAACATAGAAACAAGCAGCATTTGGTCACAGGCAGGTCAGTGGAGGTAGCTTTCTCATTTTCCTTGTTGTCACCGGAACTCCTCTAAGGACGGTTCCGAATGCCCAACTTAGACAGTGGGCGTGGCGTGAGTAATTTTCCCGTGTATACAGAGGTCAGATTGGCCAACGAACGCTCCTATTTCCCAGGAAGTGAGACAGCAAGCTAGGTTTAATGAATAAATGTTGCCTTTTACTAAGCAGTTTTCAAGCATACGAAAAACAGATGCACACACAGAATCACACAAGTTCCTTAGTTACAATAGTATATAGAAAGCAATCAGCAAGGAAAATAAGAAATTCAACAGACAAGGGGGATAACACAGCAGGATATCGCTTATACTTATCTGAGGTCCAAGCTGAGAAAAAATCTTCTCTTAGAAGAAGTGGGGCAGCTTAAGGATCAGCGGGTGAAATTCTAAAAACACACGAGCTGGTCCAGCCAAGCCATGTGCGGGTTCTTGGGTCACGACTCCCAGGAACGCAGTAAGAATCACCTGCAGCGCTTAAGTTGCAAGGTAGGGGAAGGGTGGGTTAACCAGAGAAACAACGCTGTGTTTCTCTTTTTAAAAGCTAGGTTTTTGGGTTTGGCTTAAGGCCATAAACCCTTAGGGTCCGTCCTCTTTACTATGGCTATAGGTTAAAGAGTTGTGACGTCCTAATTGAGGGGAAGGGGGCAATATGCAGATGCTCTGCTCTGACTTCAAAGATAGAGCCATGTGGTCGGGTGTGAAACGCTGTTTCCATTGACAACCTTTGACTTGCAGCTTCCAAGTGTCCCAACTGGTACAATGGCGCTGGTCTTCTTTGTCCAGAGCCACTCTGGGAAGGTGCAGGGAGGCACGTGTCCTGTAGCAGGCAACACCAGCCTTGCCCAGCCATAGGCAAGCATGAGATGTGCAGCCAGCCATACAAACATAGCAGCAAACACAGCAGTAATCCCTGAGTCCCAAATGCACAGATACACAGACATCTGACAGACACAGCAACAGTACAGTATAGACAATGCAATTACAAACACACACATGGCTACATTGTCCCTCTCATGCAACCAGGCAGAATGTCTGTGGTTGGAAGCAGTTTGGGAAGGACATAGCTTTGTGGTCCCAGATAATCCTGGGGGAAGGCTCATTTCTTCTCCCTCTGATGCAGCCAAGTGGAATTACAAAAATGATGTGTGTGTTGTATGTTTTTTTAAGGCAAGAAAAAAATGCATACAAAAGTCAGGCAGGAAACTGCAAGGGGAAAAATGAGGTGAATCAGTTTACAGATATAAAATAGCAGTCTCATGCATGATAACCAGTGCTTTGGTTTCACTATGGCTGTGGTGAGATCATAAGAAAGATAACAAGATTAGTGGCCTTCAAGGGGCTGAGGCGGCAGGATGATAGGAATAAATGTGCTTTTCCTTGACTCTTTGCATAACGTTTATTAACGCTATAACTTTATGGTGATATTCCATGAAAGGCTTAGACAAACAATTTCCTCTGTCCTGTGGTTTGACCTTCCATTTGCCACCATTGTAGGGTCACTGACTGTCTACCCATCATTTCTGAGAATTCTTCTGGGTTTATTTTACAAACCTCTTGCTTCCATAGGGAAGCAATAGTACTGTCATGTCAGTATTGCTGTCGGAGGGATTTCCTGCTGTTCAGTCTTTTATTTACTTAATTTATCCAGTTTCAGACCTTGTGCTATAATAATTCATCGGACTTTAAATTTACGCACTCCAAATATTTGTACAATGGAGGTGTGTGTTTGTATATAGGAAGTGCCTGGAGATTGCAGACAGAATGGGGGGGGAGCAAAAATATATGCAGACAGGGTGCGAGAGACAGTTGCTAAACAAACAATGTACAACTTAAATAAACAAGATAGGCTGCTGATGGGAAAGGAAACTAATCCTACTTATGCTTGTTGTAATCCTGACTCATCCAGACTTTTATCCAATAACCTATATTACGCCAGTTTTTAATGTCTGCTAATGAATGAGTCTGCTCTGCATCCCCTGGCCATTTTTAGGGATTCTGAATGTAAAATTCTAAATGTAGGATTAGGACAGCATTCTTCCACTGATGAACTGATAGTAAACTCCAACCAGTCATGAAAACTGTTCTGGTACCTGTTGGTGCTCCCACCCCACCCCATCCTTTGGCATTTGGAGCTTGATTGAATGCTTCCCACTTTGATAAAGCTTCAGTTTGCCATGACAATTGAGTGCAAGTGCTTTGGTAAATGGCAGTGTTTACACAAGCCAAGATTCTAAACTGGGGGTTCACTGGGATATAGAAACCTAGCTTTGGAGGGGGAATAAACTTTGGTTTGCAGAGGTTCCTGCATTTGAGCAACAGTGGAATCAGCCGCCTAGAGAGGTGGTGAGCTCTTCCTCACTGCCAGTCTTTAAGCAGCAGCTGGACAAACACTTGTCAGGAATGCTCTAGGCTGATCCTGCATTGAACAGGGAGTTGGACTAGATGGCCTGTATGGCCCCTTCCAACTATGTCAGTGGTTCTCAACCTTCCTAATGCCGCAACCCTTTAATACAGTTCCTCATGTTGTGGTGACCCCCAACCATAAAATTATTTTTGTTGCTACTTCATAACTGTAATTTTGCTACTGTTATGAATCGTAATGTAAATATCTGATATGCAGGGTGCGACCCCCCGCCGCGATTTGGCGAGACTTGGGAGCCCTATCCTAAGACCATCAAAAAATTGTGTTTTCCGATGGTCTTAGGCGACCCCTGTGAAAGGGTCGTTCGACCCCCAAAGGGGTTGCGACCCACAGGTTGAGAACCGCTGAACTATGTGATTCTATTCTGTGATCAAAGGGGAATGTTGTTCAATCAAGCTCCACTTGCTGAGGGCATCGAGAGGAATGAGGGACACATGTGGGCTCAGCAAGAAGCTGTGTTTACATCTGACTGGTATTTAATGGCAGCTTGTCTTGACATCTGCATGCATCCCACAGGTTAGGTGCTTTCCTAGGAGGGAAAATGGTTAGATGTGGCTATGACACAACGACCTCTTCCTGGCCGTTGCCGTGACGAGTTGGGATGTCCCTGTATATATGTTCTTATACTGTATTCAGAAATTGTACTCTGAAGTGACTGATCACCTTTACTTTCTCTTGGCTGACCAGTTCACACTAAAAAGTAGTCTCTTCGGGGTTTATTCTTGTGGGTGGATGGAGGACAACTGCCAGATATAAACCTTTACCAAAACGTCAGGCACCAGTGCTTGTGAAAGGCAAGCAGCACAGTTATTTATTTCACAAGGGGATGGGATATTTCCACAGGATATTTTGTTTCTTTATAGAAACTTCACTCTGCTTTCACAAAGGCTGTAGGCTTATCACTCTACGTTGGTCACAGATTGTCTTTAGTACACAGAAACCGTTTGTGATTCCACTCTCCAGTATCTGACTGTGGTTAGCCTTTGGACTTTATCTACCTGGTTTCCTGAGACTGACTGGTGCACCTACTCCAGCTTTTCCAGTCTCCCCCCAGACCCTTAGTCCTTCCTATAACCACCCTACATGTTTTGTGTTTAGTGAGGAGTTATACTGTTTCTCCATTCCGTTCACTCTCCTCTTTCATTAGAGGGTACCAGTTAGGAACATTATTCAGCCCCAGTTTTCCTCAAACTGCTGGCTTGCTATTTAACTCAGCTCCAGAGGCTACTTTCCTCTCCAGAGCTCTTCAGCTAACTCTCCTCCAGCTGACTCTGTCAACTGTCAGCTCTCAAATGTCAACTGTCACTTACTGAGAATTCCGAGCAATCTTGCCCCCACCATTCCCAATCATGTGGCTCAGCAGCTCTTTTGTTTACCTGCTGTGGTTTACCAAACCTTTATTTCCATCACAGTGGCATTAGAGAATTTTCTATTGGTATCTGATAAGAACATATGAGAAGCCATGCTAGATCAGGTCAATGGCTCATCTAGTCCAACACTCTGTGTCACACAGTGGCCAAAACCCAGGTGTCATCAGGAGGTCAACCAGTGGGGCCAGAACTCCAGAAGCCCCCACACACATACTGTGGCCCCCCATGCACCAAATCTGATGCAATTATAGGCTTATTGATAGCTTTAAGCCCATATATACCCTATTTTCAGTGGAGTAGTACTGTGATATACTTGTCTTATTGAGTAATTCTTCTACATTGTCATGTGCCTGCCTAAAATTGAGGAACAAACTGTGTACACAAGGAACAAGGATGAGCTTGCATTATTCATTTTTCTCGCCACATAGAGCTTGGCAGATGGAAGTATCAGTGTAGTGGTCTTACAGGCTACTTTAAAGTCCCTAGAAGAAGTACTTGTTGAGTACATGACTATCTCGAACCCCTAGCACAAACATTTTAGGGAACCCATATACCCTTCAGAGCCAGCTGTCAAGGGACAATTCATTTTAGCTGGGGTTTTCTGCCAACCAAGACTCTGTCACAAGGAAGAGGTACTGTCTGCAATGTCCTCAGCCTTGGAAATGCTCAGAAAGCAATGAGATCTCTTGCTGCTTTCCTACCTTATTGGCTCAAAGTCAGAAAAAGCATATGTCCTCCTTCAGGTTCTGGAGAAGGGCAGGACTCTTCCCTAAATTATGGACTCTGGAACTTGGTGCACATTGAAGACATGGGAAGGAAGAGTAGTGACAGTTTGCACTTCAAAATAAGCTGCCCTCAGAAGTCAGGGAGATGCCTGAAATTTTTCCTATAAATGATTCTTTAATGTGAGATTTGTATTGTGACAAATTTTAAGGTAACCGAACATCTCAGTAATATATTTTCTGGGAAGTTACTTTAAAGCGTAAGATATATGTGATATTTTTAAGACATAAAATTAATCAGGTTACAGGTAATATATTTTATTGTAATGATCAGGTAGTAATTTGAAATACTAGTGAGTGTTTTCCATTAATTGTCGTTCTTTCTATTTCAGAATACCCGAGGATTTGGATCTCAGCTGAAAGATAGTATTCCAGTTCCAGATTTTTCATCTCATGGGTCATTTGAAAGCTGTGATACATTACGAAAAGGGTATGCACTACCTAAGTAAAAATAGTACTGTTGAATTCTTATAAATGTACAAAATGTAGTTTTGTGCTTCCTTCTTCTGGCTGTGCTAAACTTCTGTGTGCACAGATATCTGGGCCAAACAACCTCAGTCCCATTAAGGTAGTATTTCTATACTGCCGGTCTGATATGTGGTGCTTCTTACTATGAAGCACGTAGTATAGAAGTGGTTTGGTCAGGACATCTTTTGAGAGGTAGAAGCTTGGATGGTTTCACCTGGCCTCCAAGGTTGCCGCAACTGACCCAATGCTCAGTATGCCTGATTTTTATGGCATTAGTTATGGATATTTATTCAGGTTTGTCAAAATTCACTTTGGAAAGAAAGAGACGTGTTCTGAGACCACCATCTTTGTGTCATGGATACTTGCAGGATAATAGCATCAGGTCTTTATAACTTTAAAGGGAAAATTGCTATACTTCTAGGCTGCAAACTTCCCTAGTTATAAAATGAAGGTTACGTTACTAAATATTTGTGTTGTGTTCTCAGGAGTTCTTTGAATGTTACGCCCTGTTACTTTATTTGTCTTAAAATACGTCAGATGCTAGTAGGAGCCTTAAATATAGATTTTTTCCCCACAGAATTATGGTACTATAAATGGATCCTTCTAGGTTCTGTGTCAGGCTCCAGATTGTTTCCTGCTTGTTTGAAGCGTGGGAGCCAACTCAGCCTCTTCAAGTGGATGGAAAACTCTTTGCCTGCCTTCCTTCCTTCAGCCACAGGCAGAGCTGCAGTTTCCCAGTCAACTGTCTCTTGAAACTCTTAAATGAACTTTCATTTTCTATTTAAATGTAATGGGCTAAACTTGTTTACACTGATGGAAATTTGTTTGTTACCTTTCAGATTTTACCTGTTTACAGAAGTGTTTTTATTTGTAGAGCCATACCCATTAAGAACAGCCCTCTTTAAGTGTTCAAAACAGGTTCAGGTGGGTAGACAATGGGTAGAGGAGATGGATGGAGTGTAACAGGGTCTCAGTTAATTACTCTGAGCACCCCACAGTTAAGAAGGATACAGTTACACATCAGTCTCCAATTTTGACATATTTATTTGCTTCACTGTGTTCCCCCCCCAGAATTTAATCCAAACAAATGGTGACCACATACACTTACCTTGTTATTCCTGTCTGGTTCTCTGCTCATCTGTTAAAACATCTTTATATTGTATGCTAATTTGCTGTTCACCCTTTTGGGGAGTGGTCCTCTATGTTTTACCTAGCTGGGTTACCAGTCCTCAAAACTTGAAAACTGTGAAGCTAAATCATAATGCTTTATTTGGGTTCCCTCCTTAACTCCTTTCTTTAGCAATTAAAAATTCATGTCTTGGTGGCTAGTGAGAGGATGGTAGGAGAGAGGGAGACTGTAATGATTTCATGTTTAACTGTGTGTGTGTGGCTTTAAAAGTTTGGTTTGCATGGCTGTGATGATAATCTAGAGTGCTGGAATTAGGCAAGTGATATGATTGGTGAGTGACAGAGAGGGGGAGGGGTTTTGGAATGGATGCTGTGTGGAGGATTTGAATGTCTATCAAGGGGGTCAGTTAGAGATGACAGTTGAAAAAGTTCAGTTAAGCTATGTATGAGAGTTGAAGGAGAGGCTTCCCTGTGTGGGTTGTTAAGTTCTATGTTTCAAAGTTGAATAAGACAGTTGATAAGTTAAGTTCATTCTGAAGTCTGAAGGAGAGACAGTCTTGTGTGTTATGAAAAGTTGAAGTATAAAGAAACAGTAACCATATATGGCCTGAAGGAAAAAGGGTTACAAAGTTACATGCCCAGATCCCTGTCAGTAAGAGAGAAAAGAGTGTGATACACCAAGCATATGTTCAATATTCAAGTCTTCCTGGTAACAATGAATTAATCTTTTATTTGTTAATTACTTCAATAAAGCCTCTTTTATTCAAATATACCCACTCTGAAAGAAATACTTCCCAGGACCACATAGTACCTCGAACGCCTTAAACCCTCGACATACCTACCCAGAAATAGAGAAAGCATAAAGGTTTGGAAATCCTTTTAAAATTTCCTGGTGGCAGCCGGATTACCCAGTAGAGAAAAACATAAAGAACACTTTTAAAGGGAAACCAGATCTCCCCAGTAAAGGGATCGTCACAGAGACCCTACCCTAAAACAATTTTTATCAAGTGACTGTCTCATTTATAGAATTATTACATCAACAAAAGCACAGTGTATTGTAGATCAGCAGTTACTATCTAGCCCTTCTCACAAAACATCCATGGCGAATGAATAAGTGTAAGGGGAGAAGCAGCATCAAACAGGCAACATTAACCCAGTGTCTTTTCAGGTTTTTGATCCCACAGATGTGTATCCATGAGTGTACTTGTGTCCATACAAGCAGTTCATACAATGTTGATCTAGCCTCTGCAATGCTATATCACCCTATACATGTCCAGGCCCCATAGATAAGTTGGATGAAAACAGGAAGCCTTTCTTGCTAAAGAGAACATGTCTGGGCTGCAGTGGATGTTCTGAACATCCCCTGCAAAATCCTGTAGGAGATCCATAGTGCAGAAAACTCAGGGGCATTTTTTGTTCCCAAAATACTGGCCAGGCCTCTTGGGCCTCCTCACCCCCCACCACCACCACCGGTGTATTCTTAAGCATTGGCATCAGCTGCATGTTGTCAAAGATGAGCAGTTATGAAGGGCAAGCTGGCTTTCAAGGGAAGGTCTGAATACACTTTCAAGAAATCCTAACTTGAACATGACTTCTGTAGTCCGCACAAGTTTGCTTGTTTGTTGAAACCATTGTTTCCTTGGGCTCAAGGTGATGAACAGTGTAGCAACCAGGTTGCAAAGGCATAACTAAGTTAACCAAGGCAACTTGTGTAATGACCGCTTACTTTGTTTCCTCTTATTCTGAATGGTGGCCAAGTAGAAATACAGGACCTGTTACATATTGCACTAGGACCAGAACTGACCAAGTGTTTTTTTCCTGTTCACCCTTGTCACCTATATAATGCCATTTCTTCTGCACGACTGAAGAAAAGTGTTAGTTTACATGCTTCCAGTCATTTCAAGCTTTAATTACTTAAAATTTGTGCTTGGAATCACTGCTACTTAAGAAATTAGTGTTGAGACTTTATGATAAGGTTGCTTGTACTACTTCTATCATTTATTTTTCTTTATAGTTTCACAAATGCAAAGAGTGAACTTTTTCCTGCCCATCCTTTGGAGCTATCAGAGAAAAATGTAAGTCCAGTATTTAACACTCCAGAACAGTATTCATTGTCCTAAAATATCTGTACTCTAATTTGTAATGCGCGAAGTTGATGGGAGAGGTCGTGATTGTGACGAGTAGTGCTTGAGGATGTCAAAAATAAATCTGGTGGGATTTACTCAGGAATACTATATGCATAGGGTTGCAACCAGTGTTCCCTCTAAGCTGAGTTAGTGTGAGCTAGCTCACAGTTTTTTAGCCTCTGGCTCACACATTTTTATCTCCGCTCAGGAAAGGACGGCTCCAGAGCAAACTAATTTATGCAGTAGCCAAATGGCTCACTCACAACTTTAATACCAGTAGCTCACAAAGTAGAATTTTTGCTCACATGACTCAACAGCTTAGAGGGAGCATTGGTTGCAACCATAAATAGAGGCTTTATGTTCATTTCCGAAGTAGTAGGCTCTGCTCAGTTATTGAGGATCGGGTATGACAGTCCATTCAAAAATGGCAGATTGGCATATTATCATCCTTAATCCCTCCCCCCTTCAGCTAGTCAGGTCTGTGCAGAAACAAGATACCAGCTGTAATATGGCAGAATAAGCTTTACCTCCCAATCGTGAGGGAAGTTGACAACTGGGAGGCAGGAGAAACCACAAAATTGGTTCTACCCGCATAATTTCTGGATTTCAGTTGTTAACATCAGTGATGTACAAATAAGCCATAGGGAAACTACTTCTGTGCTGGCTCCTAGTAAGTGTGAACTGAGTCTTTAGCCTCTAAAATGTTGATGTGTAAACAAGAGAAAGTTTGCCAAACACATATATCATTTGACTCTTGAATTAAGTTGAACGGCATCTGGGCTTTTTGTCATGTACTACTTTCACCACTAGATGGAGTCAGATCTGTTTAATTTGCCAAATACGACAAAGCTAAATGTAACAGCAGATTGATACGGGTGCTTATAAATTCCAGATGGAAGAAGGCATTCTTCATTCTTATTTTTTCTATGCAGAGAGGAACTAGTTATCTAATTCATGAAATGTGTCTAGTTAAAGTAGTTTGTGAGATTGAGGGAAACTATTTCCATTATTGGTTGTCAAATATAATTCTTAAAATTTCTTCTGGTAGCTTTCATTGAATGAGGATAAGATGGATTTTTCTACTCTAAGAAATATTCAAGGGCTGCATGCACCGCTGAAATTACAAATGGAGTTCAAAGCTGTGAAACAGGTATACTTTTTGTTTATTTTGAACAGCATAAATTCTTTTCCATCTCTACTAGCCCTTGTATGTTTCTTTTTCAAGCCATGTTTGCATAATAATAATAATAATAATAATAATAAAATAACAATAATCTTTCAATTTATTGATCGCTCAATCCTGCAGAGTTTGCTGGCTCTGAGCGATTTACAGTTACTCAGTATTACAAGGGACTAACAATGATTTGTGGGGTAGGGGAGGA